TGTGTGTGTGTGTGTGTGTGTGTGTGTGTGTGTGTGTGTGTGTGTGTAGAGGTGAGGCGGGAGTGGGAGGAGGGAGAGAAAGAGTAACAGAGCTTATACCGGAGAACCCTGACTAATATACAAACATACATGAGCAATATAAAAAGAGTAAAAGAAATTCTAAGAATGAACCAGAAAGAAATGCTGGGGGTTTCAAAACACTAGCAGAAATGAAAATCCCTGTGATAGGCTTTTTAGCAGAACAGACACAGCTGAAAGTAGATATATCAACAAAAACATTTCAAATACCTCAAGCCAAAAACAATAAAGACAAAGAAATCCAAGGACTGTGGGACAACTATATAAAAAGTGAAATGTGTAATGGTAACACTGAGAAAAGAGAGAACAAAACAGAAGAATGTGCAAAATCATAATGGCTGAAATACCCTCACAAATTAATCTTATGTACCAAACCAAAGATTCATATCAAGAAACAGAATTAAGGGGAGGGGGCCAGACAGACAAACGGACAGACAGAGACAGAGACTCGGGTGTAGAGTTCAATACATACACAAATAAAATATGTAGAATAAAATCTTCAGAAAGCCAAAAGGGGTAGGGGAAGACCCTTACAGATAGAGGAATAAAGGAAAGAATATATTTGACTTGTGCTCACAAATTTATATCACAATACTAAAACATCTAACATTGTGTTTGTGTGTGTGTATGTGTGTGTGTTAAAACAGGTCTATTTAGCAAATAGTTGATTTGTATCTGGTAATAGTGGCAGATCAGGCAGGGGCACATGTGGGTAGAAAAGCCAAGTAGGAAATCATAGGGGGTGGAGGAGAGAAAGTAGGATTCCTACAATCTCCTTTGAGGATACACTCCCAGTGATCAAAGGACTTCCAAGTAGGCCCTGCCTCTTTAAGGTACTACAAATTTTGGAATACTGCCTTCCTATGAGCCAAGCCTTGAATCATAATGGACCTTGGGAGAATTTAACCTTTGTCCAAACTGCACACAAACCCTCACAAAGAATAAAAAAAAAGATAGTGGAGTGGAACATTTAAAATACTGAGAGAGAAAAAAATGACCAAGCTAGAATTTCTGTACTCTATACAAAATTTTTAAAGGGGAAGAAAAGGCTTCCCCTTTAGAAAAACAAAAAGTCAATGAGAACATGACTATTTTTAAGGAAATAGACACAAGATATTGAATCTATAGCATGCTGATCTTAGGTTTTCAGACATTTCTGTTGTACATTATTTGTTATAACTTTCTAAATGGAAGGATGTAACTGAGAGAGAGGGCACTTGTCTAACATGTACCAAAGCCCTATGTTTTACCCTTCCTGCTGGAAAACAAGACTTTTTGTCTGTCATATTTCGAATAGGCTAAGACACCTATCTATTACAGCAAGACAATATAAAATGAGAGAAAGGTATTCAGATAGGCAAGAAGAAACTGTATTTGTTCTCAGATGATTTGTTTGTCATTCTAGAGAACAAAAACAACTGACTCTACAGGCTCCTCCCCCAAACTCCACCCACTACCACCCCAACTACTGAAATTCTTAAATGGTCACCACAGGGTTTCAGATTACAAGGTCAATAAAAATCAAGTGTTTTTCTATACCAATGAAGAACAAATGAAATTTGAAATTAAAAACATAATACTAAAGGACTTGTCTCAACTAACAAGTCTCTCCCATGCTTCATCCAACCTGCACAACTTCTCCCAGGTAGAACCTGGTGAGCCTTCCTGAACCTCCCCCTTCCCCACCCTCCCAAACCTATTAGATCTAGCCCAGGTCTTATGTCCAGTGTCCCAGCCTAGTCAAGCCACTGCTACCTGCTCTGCAACTAATCTATAGGATTCTTCAGACCCTCCCAAACCATGTCAAACCTCTCCACCCAGCCAGATCTACCTCCACACCCAAGCTTTGTCCAGGACACACATCCTGAACACAGAGAAACTGAGCTGGGGCCTCATAAGAGCTTTCATCAACCCAGCTACAAACTCTGCAATCTACAGTGGTGGCCTGACCTGCATGATATGCTGGTGCAGTAGTGGCACAAACATTGTTAGAATAACAAACCACTATTTGATTGGAGTTAAGGCCTCTCTATAAGACAGAAGCCATGTTTGAGACTGCTAGGGTGTCTGAAACTGGATAGGCCATGGCCGAGGGAAAAAAACCAAATGCTATTGTTCTACTAAGGAAACAAAGCAATAAAAATAACTCCTAATGGTATTCTGTGCTACTCAGAGAACTGTCCTCCTTAACCATCATTAGAGAACCTTCCTCCTGCAGTAGACTAGAACAAATACATGATCCACAACTGGACAATGGGCAAAAAGTGAGACACTTCAGAACCGTCAGTAACAAACGGGTTATCTTAAAACCGTACCCTCAGGGCTCAGGGAGCTATGCGGATGAGGAGATGGAGAGATTTTAAGAGCCAGAGGGGATGGATGACTCCAAGGAAACGTTGTTTTCCAGACACAACAGGACTGATGACTATATGAACTCATGGAAAACTGGGGCAGTATGCATAGGTTCAGGCCAGACAGGGTCCCAGTGCTGAGAAGGAGAGATGAACATCATTTCTCATCTCTAACCAATCTCCAATTGCCAATGACTTGCAAAGGAAAATTAGTTTTTCTCCAATGGAATCTCATGGTATATATATAAACCATACTTAACGTAAGCACCCATGCCCAGCATAGACAGACAGCCAACACAAAATGAAATAAGTTATGTTGTAATTTTTTTCCTCATATTCCTTTGTTTGGGTGCTAAC